TTTCACATGCAACCCCATGATATTGATACATTTTTCCCGTGGGTTTGACAATAATTGACAACACCGTAGGTACAATTAAACTCAACTTTATTCCACTGCCACACTGACATTATAACACAAGTACTCAAACTGAAACTTCAGACTGATTTTCAAATGTATATCGCCTTATTAGATAACTTCGTACCGGACTTGCAACTAGACTTTTCGATCTGCCTGTTGGAAGTATTTGTATATTGTAATGGAAGTGTCTCGAAGCGACGCGACATCTAGAACGATCGCAAAGCGCAAGTCGAGTTGAGTGCGACCTTGGCCTAGTCACAATCGATTGAAGAAAACAACCAGCGGCGGCCAGTGTTATTTTCTTCAAGGGATGATTCACAACATTTATAACAAAAAGAAGGGTTTGCTGAAAATAGCATAGAAAATGTCATCACGTCACTCTAAATCCAATATGGCGGACGAACCGAGATAACTGACTAAATTTTTATGCATCTCTATAATATGGGTGTCAAATGAAATTATCTGCTTACAGTATTACGAGAAATAACATGACGTCACTCTTCATCCAACATGGCGGACGAATAAAATAGTTCTTGTGCATCCCCATGATATGGTCAACAAATGAAACGGTTTGCTGAATGACATAATTCTGAATACAATATGGCGGACCAGAACATTGCCGCTATACCGATTTCAAAGCGTTATCACTCGGCACAGGTTAGAAATAGTTCGGTGGTGTTCGAGTAAATGTTGTTAGGACCAAACGACATGAAAACAGTTCCATTGGTGTTGATAAAAAATGATTCACTTCGTTCATCTTGTTGACAACTTGGCATTATATTCGTCATNGAAGGTTTGAGTCATGGGCAATTAAACTGGCAAAGGGAGAAAAGGATAATTGGGAAAGTTCCACACAATATCGTTGAAGTTGATGGGAAATGACGTAGGACCAAGAAAAAAACCCTGCGGAACCCCTTCCTTCACATATGCCTTGCCTGAGTAGTAATTCATTATACTATTATTTTGAATAGCTTCCAATTTAACTTGCATCCTTCTTTGGTCCAAATGAGTTTTTACCAATTTGAGAGAATCCCTAATGCCAAGATACTCAAGTTTGGTGAAGAGAATGACAATCAAATGCCTTAGTTAGATCGCAAACTATCGCCAGGAATTTCTACTGGTTTCTATCAACTTAGAGCAAATGTGGCATTCATTTTGTTTCGATTCTGATGAAACCCAAACTACGAGTCTATGAGAATATTCCGTTCCATGAGATGCGTCAAAACTTGTTTATTTACGATCCATTCCAGGGGTTCTGAGGAACTGGGTAGTAGTAAGATGGCTTTCCAATAAAATTGTTGAGCCTTTTTTGTGAATAGGCGTTACAATTGAAGTTTTAAATAAATCCAGGAACGTTCTTGTGGATAGAGATTTATTAAATAATGTTGTTGAAGTGTCCATATCATTTTTATGAGTGTCATTGGTATTTCATCAGTTCCGCTAGGTTTTTTGGGTTCGTGAGCAAATTTTCACATCGATTTCCGTTTCCGGTGCTAAGTAAAGAGAGTTAACAAAGTAAAGATTCATTTCTCTCAAAAAATAATGACTACTTCTTACATTATTAGAGTGTACATCAGTATCTAGAGTGACTGAAGAAAAGAAGTATTCGAATTCTTCAGATATTTGTTGAGGGTCTTCAATTAATATTTCATTTTCATTACCGAAAGTATATCTTACACATTACGATTGATTTATTAATGTTCGAAGGCAATCAAAGATAGTACTTTCACCTTGCAATACTTCTCAACCCTGTGCCAAATGAACAGCTCGTTATCATATACTTAGACGAATTTTTCGCGAACCGAACTTCATGCAGCGAATTTGCGAAGTTTACGCTTTCATCCGATGAAAGACTTCCGTAAGTTATGAAAACCTTCTTGAATTAACGATTTCTCTCTTTCATATTTTCCCTCTCAGATATAATGGTCTACTTCTCGGCGGATTGAAATATACTTCAAGACATACTGAGACGTTTTCAAGGCAAATCATTATTATTTTTTAATTTAACCGACTTTCATATCACGAACACAATGAGGAAAGTGAATTCTGGCTATTTATCCAAATTACGAACCAAAATTAGAATAAATATAAACAGAAGTTGAAACATTTCAATTGTTACTTGGGAACGTCATCATGAATAATGAATCCAAACAAAATTGTTTCTCTGTATATAACTGGTAATGCAAAAAAAAGATCGCACGTCAGAAGGTGAGACATTGTTAATCTCTATCTCTCCAACTACCAGCTTTCATCTGTGGATGCTGTTTGCATATAACGAACAATATTTTTTATCAATAAAAACCATCGGATGTGATAGACTCAGTATAAAAATGATCTTATTGTGTTGTACTTTCATTCTTCCTTATTAAAGGCATCATCGAGTTTTGTAAAGACTTTTTCCGACTATGTGGAAAGCAGCATTGGTAACTCCAATTAATCCAGTCATTTAAGCTTAAATTAGGTAAGAATCTCGGAATTCGAGATACCCAGCTGTAAGTCTGTAAATACTTGTATATTGACACCCTAAAAGTTGTCTCAAAACCTACATATGGTAGGGTGTAAGCAACTATTAAATTTCAAGGTCAAAGGTCACAAAAATCGGTTTTTTGCGCTTTTTTTGGAAATATCTCATTTCCTATGGGTTTTTTGCTATTTGTATT